GGCATGGGACCTGGGGTGCGGGGAATCTGCCCCCTTTCCCCCCCCACCCCCTCCTGCCACATCCAGCCCCATGGCTCCCCTTCAGAGCAGGAAGGCCCCAGCACAGCACTCTCCTGCCAGGACTCGGGGAACCCCCGTTCTCCTGGGCCCCCCCCTATCCCTCCAAGCACCACCTTACCTCCCTCCGTTTCACGTCCCTCCTTCCCTGGCGCTGCCGTGCTGCTGTCCCCAGGGCTGGCAGGAGCAGGCAGGAGGGCTGTGCCTCCTCGCTTGTCCCCAGACAGCCCTGCTCCCTCACCGTGTCCTCATCCCCCCTCCGACCAGCTACCCCAGGCAGGGTGTGTGGTCCTGGGGTGGGGCAGAGAAGAGCAGTGCTGGGACAGGGCCTGCCCAAACCTGCCCCCGTAGCGTGGCCTGCTCAGCATTGCCCACGGAGCTGGCGGCAGTTTTAGGGTTTGTCCAGTGTGAGAGGTGTGAATAACCTGCCTGGACGCTGCTCCCTGGGACTCACGCGTTTCCCTCCTCCCTGAATTTCTTCACGTCTCTTTCCTGAGATTGGGGCGGCTGGAGGGTGGGAGGGAGAGATCGAACCTGAGCCCGCTGTGTGGTGAGAGGGGAGACGGTTTATTCGTGAGAGCCCGGCCTACAGACCAGGGGCAGAGCTTACAGCTTTGCATCAACGTGCTACAGACTGGCAGGAGCTGCTGTTGGTTTGACCTTGCTTTGGGTTTCCTGCCAGAGGTTGGTGAGGTGCAGGGGAGTAACGAAACAAAACGAACCTCCGCTCCCCCTCCAGGTTGCGGCTGTAGGGAGAGGCGACGCTGAGCCCCTCAGCTCTGGACCATGAGCTCACTCTGCCGCTGGGGATGCCGAGGCTGAAGGCTCCAACCCCCAGGGAAGGAAGATGCTGCAGACCAGCAACTACAGCCTGGTGCTGTTCCTGCAGTTCCTCCTGCTTTTCTACGACCTCTTCGTCAACTCCTTCTCGGAGCTGCTCCGCACGGCCCCCGCCGTCCAGCTTGTCCTCTTCATGTGAGCGCCGGGCAGGCGTAGCAGGGAGCGCGGTGGGGCGGGAGGGCTGGCGTGTCACCACCTCTCTCTCCTCCTGCAGCATCCAGGACATCGCTATTCTCTTCAACGTCATCATCATCTTCCTCATGTTCTTCAACACCTTCGTCTTCCAGGCTGGGCTGGTCAATCTCCTCTTCCACAAGTTCAAGGGGACCATCGTGCTGTCGGCGACCTACCTGGCGCTCAGCATCTCCTTCCACGTCTGGGTTATGGTAGGCTGGGGTGGGCTTGGGGCTGCCGGCTGAGGGCAGGCAGCACAGGCAGAGCTTCACCTGTCTTGCTGGCCACAACCCCCTGCTCCCTTCAGTCCCTCTCCCACAAGAGGAAGACCACGGTCTACAGCTCGGTGTCCCCCTGCAATTCCCTGTATAATGGCCCTTGTAGACATCAGGCTGCCCCATCCCTGCCCTTTCCCTATGGGAAATCCTCTTCCCAGCAGCGCTGTGCCGGCACAGATGCCCACGCTGGAGTAATCCCCGGTGAAGTCCGTGGCAGCAGCTCCTGGTTTACCCGGGATTAATCCCCAGCAAACGCCAGCACT